GTGCAAGTCGCGCCCAGGTCAAACCTCATACTTGTGATTTCCATTTGAAGAACGCATTGGATTGTGGGAAAATCAATGTTTATCAACACAAATGTCGCACATGCGCAGCACGACGACTACCGCGCTTTAAATGATTTTCATGGCATTCCATGCTGTGGCTCCCGATGTAGGATACGCCTTGATGGGGCATTCTAACCTGATATGTGGAGGGAATGCGCAATTGATCGGAGCATTTGAGTCTCAAAACTGAAATGATTAGATTGACAATGTGGGTTAATCGTGCAGGAGTCTTAATAAGGCGTTCTTTCGTAAATTATCGTGTATCGGACACGTGACCCTGCATCTCCAAACTCGACTCGGTCACACTGCGTCGCCGAACTCAGCGGAAATGAAATTCCTCGCTTGTGACACGTGAATCAAAAATAGGGATCGGCTGCTATTAGCGTCATATACAGCGGTGTATAGCTATCAACGTTGGTTATGGACTTCATGAACATATAATTAGAAAAAATACAGAATATTTATTATGATTTTGATTTATTAGATTTTGGCAGGTATGAATTTGTGTGACGTCATCCAACCCGGACATACCGTTATTAAAATGTTCTGCCTGACTCTGCTATAGTTCGCGGCATGTTAGTTTGGAGTAAAGCGGTATTAGCATACAGTACCAGTACACTAATAGCTCCAGGTTGAGATTACTATTCCCATGGAAGGTACTAATACCTTCCATGCTATTCCAGTATTGGTAATCCACTTGGTTCGACTAATCCGAATTAAATTTCGGGTGGTTCTGATTTGTATTTTGATATTCATATGCATTGTGTCTTTCAACGTTAAAACAGAAAAAAAAAAAAAAAAGGTCATAGCGTGGTAGTGGCGACAAACATCGCGTGGGATTCGACGAACGCGAAAGTATTTTGGGGGATATTTCCATGCTTAATAATGTGCTGTACACATTTGATGATGGTCAATTTCGATTAAGTAAGGGTATTCAAACGCAATGTTTCCTTGTCAACGATCGGTTCTTCGATGTGAGCTACGAAATAAAGAAATTAGAGTTCAAAATCAAATCGTTCAATTTTTGCTGCAGACGTTCGACGTGCGTCTTTCACGCAACTCGCGAGATCTCGCAGTTGAACGGAAAATCACCTATTACATATGAAATACATGATACTTTTGTTTTCTAGATGTGTAAGCATTATATTTAATTATTGAGTGATTTAACTGGTCTAGGGTGTTTCGAGTATCTGACATTTTCCCTGGTTGCTAATGACTAAGAGCGCTTGCGATATAAATGGACATTGGGGTTGTTGTTTCAAGTGTAATAGCCAGTCTGCGTGACTTCGCTCGTTGCTGTTTTCAAGTTGTCTCAGCAGAAAATATGTCACAAATTAACTATAGATACCAAAATGGTATAATTTAAATTACCATGTTGTCCAACACCGTGACGTTTCCATATTTCACTAAAACGTTGTCAACTTTCAAAGGGAACATAGAAGCCTGCAATTCAAAATCAATGTGTTCGGAACGAAACTGAAACTGCTATAGTAAAATATCAAGATAGTACTGAATATTTCTCCTGGCCGGAAGTGAGTCTACGTCGAAGGACCTCTTCCCGAACATGATAGCAACCAGGGAACCCGAAACTCGTATATTGGCAGTAAAGTCTACTTTTTACATCTTGTATATTAATACAAATACATTCTTATTATAATATATGTTTTAATAAATAACGTTCGGTTCGATAATAAAGATTGTATTACTTCACAATTAGCCTGACAAGGTCGCGTGAGTTGCGCCCTCTGCGGTGTTCCAAATCCAACCTGATAGAACCATGTAGTTTTTCACTTCCCGACAATGTTTTGTCGGTACCAATCAAAATTGCATGATCGTCAAATAGTGACAATCATCGAAGTGTAACCCATCCGTGTTTATTTGTTTACATAATGTTAGTGGGGTCTGACGCCGTTCGGCCGGCGAGGGCGCCACTCACACCTAAATGTCAAATAAGTGACGCTGGGCACTCAACCCCATTGGCCATGAGGAGTTCCATCCCAATTACGCTAAAACATATTTTTCGTTTAAATTATAAAAAAACACGGATTTTGTCATTGTAGATAAGTTGTTTCGTGCAATGAAAATGGCGAGCGATAATGAATCCAAAGATTCCGCATCAACTGGCAAGAACGAATCGCTTCAAGTTAAAAGGGAAGTTGAGACTGAGGAGCCCGCTGCCGTCGAAGAACAAGAGCCACATAAACGTGGCGCGGACGAGGATGACGGCGACGATGATGACGACGATGATGATGACGACTTGAACGACAACTTTGGAAGTCGACGTAATCACAGTTCAAATGCCATAGAACTCACTCGCAGGCGTAGCTTGGACGAGCACAGTCGCAATTCTAATGAAGATTACGGGATGGAGGTATGTGTGCAATAAAACATTATAAACACTATTAAAGGGGGAGTCACCTGCGCATGCGTCAGATGGCCATAGCGTCTCATTGTTTACAAACAAGTGTCTACCCATGAGCCTTTGCGTTTGTTAGCATGTGTTGTGCGCAGGTGACGACCCTCCCGCTTTAATTATTTGTTTCTCTGCAGTCATCGTTACAAAAAAAAATATATATATGCAATTGTTGAATGGATCAATGATTAGGTTCTACCAGAGGTACATTACTTGGGGTTTGTAACTACGGTGACATGATACCAAGATCCCGTCACAATCTCGCTCTCGCATAAGCGTTCCAACTCAGAAAAAATGCGAATGCGTATGCCCGAGGTAACTAGGATACTGGGATGTCCAGGTGGATCAAAATAGCTGCCCACGATATGACGGATTACGAGAACTATATTTTCTGTACATTTTCGATGTATTACATTTTTCACTATGATAGTGACAAGAAAAGTTTTATTTTTTCATTACAAACCTTGAACATTGATATGCGTCATGTCAGAAGGTCGTAGCCTCAGTCTCGCTATCTACGAGAAGAGACTTGAATGGGATCTTGACATGATGTCACCATACAGTACTATGCGAGTTGCAAACCCCAAGTAATGTACCTCTGGTTCTACCGATGAATGAAAAAATGAATGATTTGAATATTACAGAGTCAGTCTGTATAATGTCGCATAGAAATACGGAATAGAAGTTACTTCTATATTAACTACTGATTATAGTCTGGAAACAACTTGCCAATATAATTATGTCTACTTTTATTGTTGTAGTATGTGTATGCAGCGGACTGTGTTTGTGAGCTAACTGGATCAGAACTGGCGAAAATTATTATTTGTCAGTCATTGTACTCAATAGTTCGAGGAATTGCTCAACCTTATGTTTTGACACGAACTATTATACTATTTGTATTCATAATACATAATACGAAATACTTGAAGCGGTTCAAATCCCCGGCCCCCCACTCAGGATCCATAGGGGGGCGCATGCGCGTTCCCAGTTTCTCGGGAAAGAGGGTACTTTTTGACGATCTGTCTCGGGAACATTTTCCCGAGAAAATCGTAGAAAAGGGGGTATTTTTTGCTTGTTTTCCCGAGATTCTCAAAATAGGGGCCTGGGGGTGTATTTCAAAACACTTCCCGAGATATACAAAAAAGGGGGGTTTAAAAGGAGTTCTAGACTGAAAAGTTCCCTAGATAGGGGGTGAAATTCATCGGAAAAGCCCGTGAATGGGGGGGGGGGGGGTTAATTTTCTTCTTTTCCCTAGATAGGGGGGGGGGGTCAAAAAATGAGGGAACAAGCATAGGCCCCCCTAAATATAGGGAATGGGGGGGGGGGGTTCAAATCGTCGATGTCGTTTTGAAATATAATCATTCATCACCTATGAAAATTATGACGGAACTATCTTTGGCATGTGTTTCTTGCAGGCCCAGAT